TGTGTATGTTTGTGTTTATAGCTAATGTGTTTGCAGCCACTTACATGTAAATATTCAAATGTAGGTAGAGTAAAAGGAATAGCAACTCCATTTCAAGCACATTTTCCCATCAGTGAAAGACTGATCTGCTGAGAAGCTGTAAGATTCTTCTCAGAACAATGAAAAAAAATGATCCATTTCCTAACATACTTTACTTGGAATTCTATATTTTTAAAGTCACGAAATGCTTGAATTTAGGAAGTTCCCTAAATTATATTTTCTGTGTCTCAAATAAAAGGAAAAACAGATACTATAATGATTATTACAGTAACAGTCTTTAAACATGTATTTTTTAATTCCAGAAAGGGGGGCTGATTGTCATGTCCCATGGAGTTTTTGAGACTAGGCCTGCTCTGTTCAGTAAGCAAATATTTGAGGGTGAGGAAATGTGTGTGCTGCTCCCTAAAAGTTAACAGTAAAAGCTTATATGTAAATACATAGTTTTTTGTTGGGGTGTGTATGAGAGAGAGAGAGAGAAAGAGGCGGGAGGGGGGAGAGAGAGAGGAAGAGAGAAAGATGAAAGGATGGAAGGAGGCAGAGGGAGGAGAGAAAGGGAATGAAAGAAAAAAGTACCACGGAAATGTATTTAATTTCAAATGGCTCCTTGTTACAAATGCCTGGTTGACCTTATAAATCTAAATAAGTCAATATTTTGAATAGGAACTACACGGTTCACTAAAGTATGGAACTCCGAAGGCACTGTACTCAGAAGGCAGCACCTGCCATACTTTAATTGGAGTTATTCCTGGCTGATTTGCCTCCACATTGGGGAAAACAGGAAAGAACACTTTTCTCTTGCCATTAGCTCTAGGCCCTTCTTTCTGACTTATGAAGAAATATTAAAAGAACTAATATGTACAACTTGGGTAAACAGTGACTACGAAGGGATATGCTAATTATGTGCAAGAGTTTAAAAGGTGCGTACACTGAGGAGGATGAGAAGTTATTTAGCCTGGTAGTTGAATATTGCCAGGAGACATGAAAACACATTAAGCAAAGGGAGATTTAAACTAAACACTAGATCCCAGAATAAATATAACACTCAGTAATGTGAGCAGGCTTGTGGAAATTGGTTGAGATGTTTAAAATACCAAAATACTGAAATTTGCATTTCAAATAAAAATTTATGTAAGGGCAAAAAATAATAGGAACAAGAGAAAGACCCAAATTGTAGCCATAGAACTCGTCTACCAGAGAACTTAAACAATAGGTTTTCTGTCTGTTTCTGGCCTGAGGGTCTTTTTAAGGTTGAGAGAATAAAAGACAATGTTGGCAAGACCCTTGGGTTGAGAGCAGCCGGTCAGAGAGAACTAAAAGAAGTGGAGAAAGTTACCCTTTGGGGACAGGCACACAGGGGCAAAGGGAAAGAAAGGAACAGGAGAATCTGAGCGCATTTTGGAATTTTGTGACTCAAGACTCAGGTGGTATACTCCATACCTTAAAACGAGAAATGGCACTTGCTAAGACTGTATCATGCCTGTGTCCACAGGGAGCTCTGCTGGTTTCCGAAACAATAACTCCACATGGCAGACAGTTCCTCGGGACATGACCAGAGATGCCCCTGTGCGGTCCTTCAACAACAGAGTATTCAGCACACCCTTTCTTCCCCAGTATAACAGAACTCTATTAGGATCACCAAAAGGCGGTGAAGTTTTATGCCAACTTCTCTTACAGAAATACTTAGTCACTTTTCAATACCTGGCTCTATTCTCTTAAACTACATGAAGTGTTGGCAATAACTCTAATATCTCTTTGAGTTTCTTAATTCAGTCCAGCTTTATCTCAGTCCATTCAGGTTACTGTAACAAAAATATCATAGATTGGGTAGCTTATAAACAACAGATAAGTATTTCTCACAGTTTTGGAGCTTGGGAAGTCCAAGATCAAGGTGCCAGTAAATTTAGTGTCTGCTGAGGGCCCACTTCCTGACTCAGAGACAGCTGTCTTTTGTGTCCTGACATAGCAGAAGAGGCAAAGGAACTCTCTGGAGTTTCTTTCTTTTTTTGAGATGGAGTCTTGCTCCGCTGTCCAGGCTGGAATAAGTGGCTCAATCTCAGCTCACTGCAACCTCTGCCTCCCAGGTTCAAGCAATTCTCCTGCCTCAGCCTCCCAAGTAGCATGCCACCATGCCCAGCTAATTTTTTGGTAATTTTAGTAGAAATGAGGTTTCACCATGTTGGCCAGGCTGGTTTCAAACTCTTCGCTTCAAGTGATCCACCCGCCTTGGCCTCCCAAAGTGCTAGGATTACAGGTGTGACCTACCATGCCTGACCTGGAGTTTCTTTTATAAGGGCACTAATTCCATTCATAAAGTTTCCATCTTCATGACGTAATCACCTGCAGAGACTCCACTACCAAATACCATTATCACTTTGGGAATTAAGTTTCAACATATAAATTTTGGAGAAACACAAGCATTGGGTCTGTAGCAAGCTAACTCAACAAACATTTGCTGAGTGACTAATGTTTATTGAGAGCCAAACCCTGTGCTAGTTCATGAGGATATTAAGAGTAAGGCATGGCAGCTGTGTGGCTCATAATCTGAAGCTTTGGCTCTCCAGCAACAGAAAAGCCCCTATGTCCTGTTAGATTTCTGTGAATTGGTCGGAAATTCTCAAGTGAAGCAGTAGAGATAATGCATTGTGGGAAAAGTCTCCTGGGTGTTACTAGAACAGACTAGTCAGGAAGGACCAGGGAATGCAAGCGTTTCAACTGGAGGATCCAGGGGACAGGTAAAAGAAGCATGACAACAGGGAGGGCCCAGGGGTGTCTCTCAATGTTTTAAAATCAGTTTGTATCCTAAGAGTCTTAAGGTTGAGCAAATAAAAGGAAACACTGACAGGAAGGACCCTTGGGTTGAGAGCAGCCTGTCAAAACTGAAGGAACTGAAGAAGAGTTGCCCTCATGGGGACAGACACACTGGGGCAAAGGAAAGAAAGGAACAGGAGAATTGTTGGATGAGATTGGTTGGATGATGGAATACAGCGTAGCTTCCCCTGCCTGTAATTGGTTTGCACCTTGAGCCTGCCCCCACTCTATTGAGACAGCTACTCACATCGTGCGCTGGAGACAGGTTGCTATCAGAGAGGAGGAGAGCTATCATAGGAGAAGCAGAAATGATGTCTCCACCTCCCATGTGGGTCACTTAAGAGAAAACTCTTATCCTCAGGTAGTTTAGGGGTAAATTCTAGAAACATGAGATCAAAAGTTTATCTGATAAGGATCTGTTTTATTATCTGTTTATCAGGAACAAATGAGATTGTCAATACTTACAATGGTATGTTAGAATGCCAGGCCCCAAACACAATAAATATTGTTTTATTTTCTCTCATTCATCTTATTATTTACTTTCATGCTTTCATGGGTACAGTCTTCCAGAATTGGTAGGGCTTTAGTTGGTACAGCTAAAAATAATCTCTTCTGCAACTTTTTTTTTTTTTTTTTAGAAATTCATAAAGCACGGTAGGGACCCATAATCCACCATTTCTAGGTATTTCATGGGAATTGGAAAGAATTCAGTGTTGCCAACCAGCTGTAAGATTATCCTTGTTCTCTCCTACTGACAACTCTGTCAGCCCAACTAAGCCTAACTAAGATTAAGTGTTATAGGTGGGAATGTTCAGGAAGGTAAGAAATCCTAAAACATCCTGAAATTATTATTAACTATTTTCTCATTATAATCTACCACTATTCTCAAAATAAATAATGCTATCTTACTTTCTACTTTACCTCTGCATTCCAGGTTTTTAATGAGCTTATACCTATTTCTGCCTGTTAAATAAACTAATTGTCGAAGTTGCCATTAGTCTTCAGGGTATTTATGTTCAGCTAGAAGTCTTAGCATCAAATAGTTGGCATGACACTTAGTCCATAGATACAATATACAGGAAAGATTTTTTCCCCCTTCAATCCCAAATCCTACCCCATTAATCCAAAACAGTGGCCAGTTACCTATTCTGAGAGTACTGTTTTCTTCCCTACTACATTCCACTTCGGTAACATGTAAAATCAGATCTAAGCACTGGTTTTAATGTTAGGAAGGGAGAAGAGACAAATGTAGACAGGGAAAAATTAACCTCTTATAAGTAATATTCAACTATATGCTATAGACTAACTCTAAAATGTTCTCAGTAGAAGCATGTGCTGGATAGTGTGCAGAACATCGGAACCAAATAATGTGATATTACTCTTGCCTGTTTTTTGTCAAGATTGTAAAGTTTCCTCAAAACTAGTGATATTGACAATTGAGAGAAGACTTGAAGCTTGGAATATCCCATAGAGTTGTGTAGTAGAATGTTAGCAAAGAAGCCCTGTGTTCTGTTGGAGCCTAGTTAACAGGTTTAGATGACATGTTTAGACAGTAAATTTGTCTTCTTGCTAGCTGTCTGTTGATTTGGTCATAGGGGAATTTCCAAAAAAGGAAAACAGCTTATGGCATTTGAGCAGAGCTAATAACTGGTACCATTTAGTGTAGGATGACCAGGAGCAAGATCCCATCATGGTTTCATGATTTGCATGTACCTACCACCAGCGCCCACTTTGTTCCAAACCCTTAACCCTTAACTGGTGAGTACAGACACCTATAAACACCCCAGATCCCAGCCTCATATCAGAATAATTTTGAAGGGGGACATAGGTGTCCCCAGGCCTCCCTGAAAGACTGACTCACAGTTGCTCTCTGTGGGACTTAGCCTGGCATTGTACTCTTGCTTGGCTTCTTTCTCATCCAAGTCTCATTTTCCCATTTTCTTTCTGTTTTTTACTGAGAGCATTTTCTACTCAATCACTTTCACAAGACTTTTTGTCTTGAGGTCTGCTTCTGTGGAATCTGATGTCAGACAAAGTACATTTTCAAATCACTGAAAAGACATGTGAATTCACTGCTTTTAAAAAGAATAATGAGAGGATCTGCTGCCTATTTCAGACTTTAAAAAAGAATCATGAAAACCTCTGTTTTTCAGGAAGGGAATTTGAAGGAGAAGAAGAATATCTGGAGATCCTCGGCATCACCAGGGAGCAGTCAGGCAAATATGAGTGCAAAGCTGCCAACGAGGTCTCCTCGGCGGATGTCAAACAAGTCAAGGTCACTGTGAACTGTGAGTACAGCAGGACCCAGCAGGTGCTAGGTGCCCAGGGTGCACCTCAACCTCCACTGAGCTCTAAAGATTCCATTAGCAAAAGAGCATTGTATTTCGAGCAGATGCTCCTCTGGCCAGGAATGTACATTTATACATTGAACACATCCAAGGGCAGCACTTGGCCATTGAATTTGATAAATCAAGTCTATCAACTCTAAATGTAATCCATAATACATTTAACAATACCCTCTCTCTTTTAATCAGACTAAAGAATTAAGAAAACACGATCAGACAGCACTAACATTGCTGGCGGTTGCTATTCTGCTCTTCGTGGAAATCAAGGTCATACTACTTTAGAAAAAAACAACAATTTGTATCTGGTTTAATGGGAATTTCCATCTTAAATGCATTGTTTGTCAGGAAGGAATGCCTCAGGATTATATTTTGTCCTCCACTATTTAAATAATTGGCCTTGGGAACATATTAGAGTCACTGTGGTCAGATACCATGTGTCCCTGATGGCTAACAAGAATGCCTGATAAGTTAATTCCAGTTGCCTATTTGTCCCAAAGTATGGGCATTTAGAAAGGAAGATTTCACTAAGATGCATAGGTAAGTGGGCATACTTTCAACTTCTCGGATGAAAGGATTCTTAGATGTAGTTCAAAAGAGAGTAGGCAGGGGGGAGAATCTGTATGATGTGTGTCACCCAGCACGGGAATAAAGAGAATTCGTTTACCCTGTTCAGTTAGCACTGACTCTGTATCACTCAGATTCAAGTTCCCACCTCATACAATTGTGGCTAGTGACAGGGACAAAGGGAAGTTTTCACAGTTCTTCCTTCTGTGCATGGAATGTACACACATCCTACATACACACACATAGGCACACACAGACATACACGCACATTTTAACCCATATTTGATACTACACTTGATCTTAGCCAAAAGGTCAAGAAGCTATTTGAAAGTATCCTTTAGGCTGTGAGGAGTACTTTCTGTCATCTCATGTCTTCCTATGTGCCAGAGATTTTATATAAATTCTCTTTTTCTCGACTCAATAACCTCAGTATGGTAGATATCATTCAGTCTATTTCAGAGTTTGAAAAAACCACAGCCCAAGGAGGTAAAACTGCCCATTCAAAGTGACACAGAAAACAAATCTAAGAAAAGGGATTCAGACTCAGGTCCATTTGACTCTAAAGCCCATGCTCTCAGGAGGAAGATAAGGAATTTTCAATTCCACATACCTACTACGTGCATCATTGAGTTAAGGGATATATATTGGCTGGGCATGGTGGCTCACGCCTGTAATTCCAGCAATTTGGGAGACCAAGGCGGGTGGATCACCTGAGATCTGGAGTTTGAGACCAGCCTGGCCAAAATGATGAAACCCCATCTTTACTAAAACTACAAAAATTAGCTAGGCATGGTGGCACACGACTGTAATCCCAGCTACTGGGGAGGCTGAGTCAGAAGAATTTCTTGAACCCAGGAGGAGGTTTCAGCAAGCCAGGATTGCACCACTGCACTCCATCATGGGCAACAAGAGCGAAACTCCATATCAAAAAAAAAAAAAGATTGGTATTTGTTGTTTAATCCCCAAAGCCATTTAAACCTATGAGATAAGCATCATTAGTCTTACTTTAGAAATTTGGAAACTGCAGCTTGGATCGCTGAGGAAACTTGCTAAAGTTTACGCAGGCCTGCTGGGATGCACTATTACCTGAGGCCTTGCTGACTTCTAAAACAAGCAGCAAAATCTTTTTCATACCATACCTAAAGGAATCCAGTAGATACAAGTGACTCTACTATAGTTTATGGGACTCATTTCCAAGGAGCAGGGGGCTGCATTTCATGAGTTCTGAAGTGCTTCTATCGCTAGCTGTCTTCAAATTTTTTAGTAATAGAGTTTTGAAATGCAAGTTATTACTATTCTTTTATAATGCTGGGTATGTTTCAAAGACACATTAATGATTGCAATGTTATAAAATGCTTTAGGACCTTTTCATCACATGAAAGGCAACTTCTCTGGATGTTTGTATAAGTTTATAATTAGGTTAGCTTCTTTTATGTACACATAACCATGCCATCATCTTCCATCTCTTCCCTGACTTTTGGAGTCAAGATTTCATTTTCTCTTAATTGACCTTCATCTTAATTAGATTTCTGAAAGTCCAATCATGGTGTACATAGAAAATATTTATGCTTCCATTGTGTGAAACATCAAAGTGGTCTGGACTGCAGATGGTTCCCAAGATCAAAGCTAGCCGCCTGGGTCCTATTATCATTAGTGCAATTAGTCTGACATTGCTTCTTCTTGACTGTCCCCAAAGTGTAATTTAAAGCAGAAGAAAATACTTAGAATTTTCAAGAAAATACTTTTATCAAAATGTGAGGTTTTGTTAGTGATGAGTGAACCACAGAAGAATATGGACAGATCTTGAGATTCTAAAAAGATACTTCATAACAAATTATATGGAAAACTATAATGAGTTTAGTCACAGATCCAGTATGTTCTAACAAGCAGGACCTAGCATGTGCCTGACTTTATAAAAATTGCTCAGTAAACGTGTATTGAATGAGTAGGTGAAAAACTCCCAAATTCTGTCCTCCTAACATTTCTCCAAATTTTGTAAATAATATGGTCACAAATCTGGAAAAATATTTTATCAATTTCCTTTGGAATCATCTTTTTACCAAAACCTCATAAGCTGTGGTTATATATTAAAACCAATCAACACAGTTGTCCCATTGAAACAAATTCATCCAACTTAAATATAGCTGTATTAAGTAGATGAAGTCTCTCTGATTGAATTGTGGAGCCAAGCCTGCCTAGCAACACTCTTGCATACAGAGAAATGCCCAGGAATCATCTGTGTCACTTTACCTAATCCTGCTGGCCATGAAAGCCGTTATTTAAACTGATTCTGCTTCCTTTTCAAAACACAGGCTTTGGAATTAGGTCGGGGATCAAGAGGGTTAAGATAACTTCTGGCCAAATAGATTATTGTAATGAATAGAACCTGAGTACCATCACAAGAAAAGAACTCAGGGCTGCTAACTTTCTCCCACCAGCATTTCATTGACTCATTTACTCAGTTGCCAACAGATGTCTGTTGCAAAGCGCTGAGAGACTAGGGCAGCGAAGAAGAGAGACATAACAGTCTCTCCTGTTGAGCTCACAAACTGGATTCTATGGTCTCTCATTTTTACTTCTTTTGCATAGCACTTCCCTGAAGTAGGCATACAGCATTACACATAGCCATTTTTACATGGAAAATCTATTTTCTAAGTGGTAGGAGGTCCTGGAATTTACAGAAAGCTAAAATGTTGGCTCAAAATCTCTTCAATTAAATAAGCTTAGTATAATTTAGACAAAAGACAGGACTTCTGGCTTTCTGTATCTTACCCACAATGTAGCTGTTAATTTCTTTCAGATACCAGTCCTAGAACAGTCTGTTCTTTCATTGCAGGTTCTAGGTGCAGTTCCTCAGTTTCGATTCTCACAGTGCATTAAACTACTTTTTTTTTTTTTTTTTTGAGATGGAGTTTTGCTCTTGTTGCCCAGGCTGGAGTGCAGTGGCACAATCTCAGCTTACTGCAACCTCCGCCTCCCAGGTGCAAGCAATTCTCCTGCCTCAGCCTCCCAAGTAGCTGGGATCACAGGCATGTGCCACCAAACCCAGCTAATTTTGTATTTTTAGTAGAGACGGGGTTTCTCCATGTTGGTCAGGCTGGTCTCAAACTCCCAACCTCAGGTGATCCGCCCACCTCGGCCACACAAAATTTGTCTCATCCTACTGCCCAGTATACGTAGAATAATATCTAGCACCTAGTAAATGCTTAACAAATACAGACTATTAATTTTATCTGGACTCTTTCAGTACTGGATTCTGCCTATTCCTGGAGAAATTCTTCTAAAAAGTTACTCCCAGCTCTCAAGCCTGTCCCCACCCCATTGACCAGCTAATGTTCCCATCTTCCACTTTCCCACAGGTCTCTCTCCAGACAGGTTCACATTGTCACTCTTCACAACTCCTTTTCCCCTTTGTCTCTTTGAATTCAGTTCTGCCTCCACCTTGGTGTCCAGAGCTAATCAATCCAACCAACACCCAAGCCAGGGCACTTGTGGAGCTGATATTTCTAAATGTAAGCTTGCCTTGCATCTGATAGCCATTTATTTAGAGAAAGAGGTTGCCTTAGAATACACAATTGGGACTGTAGACACCTGTTGCCTCTAGATAATGTATATGTATTTTAACTGGAATCTTCAGTGATTTGAATCAAAAATCACCTAATGAGAAAACATTAGGAAAACAACTTGGCTGTCTGTTTTTGAAACAGGGTCTTGCTCTATCACCCAGGCTGGAGTGCAGTGGCCTGATCTTGGCTAACTGCAACCACTGCGTCCCAGCTTCAAGCAATTCTCATACCTCAGCCTCCCAGTTAGCTAGGATTACAGGCACATGCCACCACAACTAACTAATTTTTGTATTTTTTAGTAGAGACATGGCTTTACCGTGCTGTTGGCCAGGCTGGTCTCAAACCCCTGACCTCAAGCGATATGCCTGCGTTAGCCAGGAAAATACCCATTTAATATGGAGCCAGACTGGCCAACTTCTGTAGGTACTCATAGCTACACATTTTCAGTCTCCATGCTCACCTTCAGTTTATTCTTGCCTTTGGGAAGGTAATGGTAAAGACATATCCTAATATTTATAAATCTATTATGAGGTCTTCAGAGGAAATACTCAGTAACAATCCAGAGTATTGTCATGTTTTATCATAATTGTGCAATATGGACAAGAACCATAATTTTCTGAGTACCTTCAGAGTACCAAGGCTTGCTTAGAGGTTTCATATCAATTCACTGTAGTTATCCCACCAACTGTGGCCAGCTATATCAATCCATTTGCACACTGGTATAAAGAACTGCCTGAGACCGGATAATTTAGAAAGGAAAGAGGTTTAGTTGACTCACAGTTTCACATGGCTGGGGAGGCCTCAGGAAATTGA